ATTTTCAACCATTATATTGTTCATATAAAATTTTATTAATATAGAAGAATAAATTCATATATATTTTGTTGTTTAAAAAAAAAAAAAAAAAAATGTAAAATACATAAATATATATACATTGTATATAAAATATATATATATATATCAAGAATAGGTTCATATAAATAAAAGTTAAACATATAAAATTAATAACATTTTTGTTGCTTCTTTAAGATTATTTATATCTCTTTTTTTTTTTTTTATATTTTTTTACAAGATAAATTAATTTTAAAAAAAACTATCCTTAGAAGAAGAAAAAAAAAAAAAAAAAAAAAATGGTTATTTTTTAAAAAATTGCAAATTAAGTAGAAAAATTAAGGTAATTAAATGAAAAAAAATCGAATGAATCAAATATACGATATTGGTCATATAAATATATATATGATAATTTTAAATAAGCTCAATTTTTAACTTTATACAAATACATGGATACATAAAAGAAAAATTAAGATAAAAATAATAATATTTTGCACAAAAGAACTTATATCTATTTTCTTTTTTTAAGATTTATAATAATTTTTTAATTTCTTTCATTACATGAAGAAAAAACAAAATAGAAAAATGTTTGTTCATGCTTTACGAGTAAAAGATGTGTTTATTATTATACTCGTAATTAAAAAATTTTTAAAAACACTTCTGTGCAAAATAAAAAAAAAAAAATGAATGTAAATTAATAAATATATTCTTATAAAAATTTTTTATTAATCTAATTTAATACGTATATGAAAATAAATAAAAAAAATTAAATTTTTTTTTTTTCATTTTGAAACATATTTTTTTTTAATATATTTTCTTTATTCCTGAAAGAAAACATGACAATTTTTACAATTTTAAAATATGAATTTAGCTTTTTTTTAAATATAAAAAAATAGATATTATGCTACCTTTTTTTAATATTTTATATAAAAGTTCATGCATTTAAATATATTAAAAATATTTATTAAATATTTTTATTTTTTGTTTGATTTTTCACAAAGTAAAAAAAAATAAAATAAAATAGAATAAAGTATGCCTTTATTTTTTCATTCTTTTTAAATATATATATATAAATATTTTTTATTTTATAAATTACAAATATTAATAATTGTTTTTTATTTGTTATATAAACATATAAGCTTATATCTATGAATGCATTTTTCTTGTGATTTTAATCCCTAAGTTTTTATTAAAAAATTTAATTATTTAATTAATTTTAATTTTATAGGTTATTATGTATAATAAAAGAATAAAATATCACAAAACTAGATAATATTTTAAATGAAGATTGGCTTTTTTAAATGTATAAAAAAAAAAAAAAAAAAAAAAAAAAAAATATTAATTTTTACAATATTAATATATATGATAATTTTTTTGCATTTTAAATATAATTAAAAGTATATTTTTTAATTATTTTAGAATTTTTTTTTTTTTATTCTTAATTATTATTTATGAAAATGTTTTATTTTTATGTATTCATATTTAATAATATTCTATTTAAAAAAATTAATAAAAAAAATAAAAAAAATAAAAAAAATTAACGTGTGCGTGATTGTGTAATATATATATATTTATATATATAAATTTACAAATTATGTACAAATAAAAAATATTTTTTATTTTTTTTAGTAAATATAAAGAGTTATAACTGGTATTTTTAAAGCAATAATTTTTAATGATTTTAAGTATTAAATATAATAGGAAAAAAAAAAAAAAAAAAAAAAAAAAAAAATTAAATAAAAAATTAATAAATATCTATGTGCTTCTATTTCTTTCAAAAAAAAGAAAAAAAAAAAATATATTTTTACTGTTGAAAAAGAAAAAATATATATATATATATATATATATATATATATATATATATATATATATATATGTATATGTATATCTTAAATTTAAGAGCCTAAAATAAAAAAAACCAAAGAAATAAAATATTTGAAGTGACTAAAATAAATAAAATATATTATGCGAAAAATTTTGGAGTTATTTAAATGTATAAGAAAGAATTTTTATTTAATACATGGATGAGAGAACGAAAATAGTAGATGTATGGGCAAACAATTTAGAGGAGGAATTTGAAAGAATAAGAGATGTAGTTGAAAATCATCCTTATGTTGCTATTGATACTGAATTCCCAGGAATTGTTGCTAGACCAACTGGAAATGTATTAGATTATAATTATCAAACGATAAAATGTAATGTGGATTTATTAAAAGTTATACAATTAGGTGTTACTTTTTCAAATGGTAAGGGAGAATTACCAAAAGTGTCAACATGGCAGTTTAATTTTAAATTTGATCTTGATAGTGATATGTATGCTCAGAATTCTATTGATTTTTTAAAACTAAGTGGTATAAATTTTGAAAAGCATCAATCATTAGGGATAGAATTATTACATTTTGGGGAAGTTATTATGTCATCAGGTTTGGTTATGAATGAAGATGTAAAATGGATATCATTTCATGGATGTTATGATTTTGCATATTTATTAAAAATATTAACATGTTCTGCTTTGCCGCAAAATGAAATTGCTTTTTTTGAATTACTAAATGATTTTTTCCCATCACTATATGATATAAAATATTTATTACTAAATTTGAATATTAAGCAATTAAGTAGAACTTACTCCTTACAAAAAATTAGTGAAATTTTAAGTGTAAAAAGAATAGGAAGACAACATCAAGCGGGATCAGATTCATTAGTTACATGTAAAACATTTTTTAAATTAATGGAATTATATTTTGATAATAAAATTGATGACAAAAAATATTCAGGTATTATATATGGGTTAGGATCAACTATTAAGAATTATATACCTAAATCAGAAGATAATACAAATAAATTTAATAACAATCATAATAATAATTATTTAAAAAATAACAATAATATATATATAGGTGGGAAGAATAATTTATTGAATTCTCATAATAATAATAATAATAATAATAATAATAATAATAATGCATTAACTAATCTTGTAGAAAATAAGGAATATTCATCAAACTTTAATAAAGATACATCGAAGGTACATATTAAAAATGGTATGATGCATAATATATATGGAGATATGAATCAAAATAATTACAATATTATTACAAATGTAAATAATATATCTACACATAGTTATATTACTAATGATTTATATAACAATAATGGCATCAATAATTTCAGCATAAATAAGTATTCACCACAGTTAATTAATTCTGTTAATAAAAACATAAGAATTTCTATGAATAATTCCTTTTTAAGTAATAAGAACAGTGATAATAATAACAATATGAATTATTCTACTAATATCAATAAAAACAATTTAGATAACTCTAAGTTAATGAATAATATTTTTAATGATATTCCAAGAAGCATAAGTAATAATTTAAATAATGATATAAATAATTTATCAAATGATAATATAACAAACATAAACAATATGAGTAATTCCAATATAACAAATATAAATAACGGAATTATCAACACTAATATAACAAATAGCAATAACAGTATAACCAACTTAAATAATACAAGTATGAATAATTTAAATAACACTTACCTTTTAAATAACATTAATAATATAAGCAATTTGAATAATATAAATACTAGCATGAATATAAATAATTTAAATAATAATATAAGTTTAAATAATGGTATAAATATAAATAACCTTAGTAACAATGTAAATTTAAACAACATGAATATTAATAATTTAAATAATAATATGAACATTAATGGATTAAATAATAATATGAATGTAAATACTTTAAATGGTGATGCAAACAATTTAAATAATATACCAAATAACAATATGAATAATTTAAATTCTTTGCAGAATAATAATATAAATGAATTAAATCATTTACAAAATAACAATATGAATAACATAAATAATTCTGATGATATAGCTAATTTAAATAAAAGTTCATATCAATCTAATAGTAATTCTATAGGGGGAAATGCAATTGGAAATAATTTATACTCATCAAACATGAATTTTGGTAATTACAACAATACTCCTCATTCATTTTTAAATAACATGAATTTCAATTCATATAATTTATCAAATAATTCTAATAATCAAATAAATAATAATCTAAGCAATTTTAATTATTATTCTTATTCTGGTAAATATAATTCATATAACTATTCCAATAATTTAAATTATGTAAATGCATTAACAAATATAAATAGTAAAAATAACTTGGATGAAAATGAAATTGATAAAAAATGTATAGATAACCTGAATAATAAAAGTATTGTGAATAAAAATATAATGAATAAGATGAATACTGTACATATGGGTTATAAAAATATTACTTCAAATAATTTAAATACCAATTTTAGAAGTAGTTTTAAAACTACATCAATTAATGATATACCAAACAGTGGAATACAGAATAACAGCTTATTAAATAAAAATGACATCATAAATAATAATAATTTTGATAATGCAAACATAATATCGCAAAATAATAATGGGAGAAATAACTTCAAAGATGATAAAAATAATAATTTAAATAATAATCCTCCCTGTAATTTAATTAATATGAGTAATAATAATAATAAAAATGATAATGATAATAATAATGATAATGATAACAAAAATAATAATAATAACGAAAATAATAATAAGAAGAAGAATAATGATAATAACAAAAATAATAATAATAACGAAAATAATAATGATAACAAAAATAATGATAATAATAATGATGATAATAATAATAATAATAACAATAATAATAACAAAAACAATGATAATAATAATAATAATGATAACAAAAATAATGATAATAACAAAAAAAATAATAATAATAATAATGATAATAAGAATAATGATAATAACAAAAATAATAATAATAATAATAATAATGATAATAAGAATAATAAAAATAATAATAATAATAACAATAATAATAATGAAGTAATGAAAAATAACTCCTTTGCTAAAAATATTAATTATTCTGTAAGTAATATCATTACTAATGTTAGTCAATCAAACATGATAAATAGTAGCGAAATAAAAGTATCGAATATGAATAATAATCATAGTAATTATTCTAATAACAATATTATAAAAAATAATTATAATACAAATAGTAGTAACAATAATAATATAAACACAAACAATAAAATGAGTTATATAAATATGGATAATATAACATATATTAATACAAGTAATAAAAAAAATACAAATAATTTAAATACTAGTAATAACTCACCAAATAAAAATTCAACAAATAGTAACAATATTAAAAAGGATACTAATTCAAATAAAAACAATAAAAATTTGAATATAATGAATAATTGTAATATGAATGAAAAAAATAATAATAAAGATAATAGTAGTAATAAAAATAGAAGTTGTAACGTTAATAATAACAATTATGATAATATTAATAATGCTTCTAATAATACAATTAATAATAATAATGATACTATTACCAACAATGATAACATTAATAAAGGTGATAATAAAAATAATAATAGTATCATTAATAAAAATAGTAATAATATTAACAGTAATAACATGAAAGATAAAAATATCTGTAGCAACAAAAATAACAATAATAATGATAATAATAATGACGACGATAATAATAATAATAAGGACGATAATAATAAGAATGATAATAATAAGAATGATAATCATAAGGATGATAATCATAATTATATTAAAAATAACATTAATGATAAATGTAACATAGTTAACACAGATAATAAAAATTTGAAAAGTAACAATAATTATAATTTAGTTAATGAAAATAAAAACTTTTCTAATTTTGCAGATGATACAGAAAAAAATACAGAGATGGTAAATATTAATGAGCAATTAAATAGTGAAATAAAAAATGATAAAATTTTTCATATTAATAATTCAACTGATATTGCAAATGCACACACATACAATAATTTTTTAGATCATATGGTTTATTTTAAATCAGATAATGTGAAGATATTTAAAAATTATGATAGAAATAATACACAACAATTATTAATAAAAGGTAATTTTTCTAATAATGATGAATATAATAATGAAAATATTATTCATAGTATAAATAATAAAAATATTAATGTTTTGCATAATGGTAATCTGATAAATAAAAATATAAATAATAATGTAAGTAATGAAAATAATTATATAAAAAATAATAACTCATCTATTAACATTTGTAGCAGTACGAATAATAAAAATTTAAATAATTACAATGATGTTATACATAAGAAATTAAATAATTTGAATATAGTTAATAATTTAAATACAATAAGCAAATTATCCAATACTTTTAAGAATAAGGATAATTATGATGATTTAAATGAAAAGATCAATATAAATATAGCAAATAATTTTGTGAGGAAAAAGTTAGACAATGAAAATTTAAATTATATAAATAATGGTATGACAGATAACCAAAATATAAATGATTTTTATATTAATAATGACAATTCATTGGATAACATAAATTTTAATAGTAACAATATAAATGATTCAAATTTTCATTTTAATAATAATGAGAGTACTATATCTAATGAACATTATCATAATTCTTACTTAGAATTATTTCCTGATAAAATGAAAAATAAATTATTTAATGATAATAATAAAAATAAATCTGTGTGTAATGAAAAAAAAGATGATTTAAATTTAAATTACAATGAAAATAATTTTTCTGATAAGATAGCCATTACCAACAATTATGGAATTTTTGAAACAGAGAAAAATAATTTTAATCAATTAAATTGTGATTTTAAAAATAAAGAGCAAAATTTTTTTTATAAAACTTAATTTCATATATAGAATAGAAAAGTGCATAAAAAATAGAAAAAAAAAAAGAAATAACGAAAAAATATAAAATAATATATAATAAAATATACCTTAGTAATTTCCTCAATTGGATTAGTGAAAAAAAAGGAAGATAAGCCTTTTTTTAATATTTAATATGGAATTTCTTGAAAAGAATAATACATATTTTTTTAAAGGAATATATATATTTATATATATATTTTTTTTTTTTTTTTTTTTTTTTTTTTTTTTTTTTTTATGTATAACACATATATATATATTTATATATATATAGTTGTATTTGAAATTGTGTATTATATATATATGAATAATAATTTATCATTTATTCTATAAATATGTATGTGTTTAAAATAATATATATAATATTTATTCTTTTTTTCTTATAATCCGCCCACAATATAAATTAAAATTTTAATATAAGAATAAATGCATGTGTTGTTCAAATAATTTATATTTGTACATAAACGTACATATGCATATGTATGTATTTAATAAGAGAAAAAAAAAAAAAAAAATATATGCATTCAATTATTGGTAATATAAAAAAAAAAAAAAAAAAAAAAAAATGTATTCTTTATATGTTCAATAATATGATAATATATGAATCTATTAATTTTTTTTAAGTATCAATGAAAATTTTAATCTAAATATTGTGCTGTGTCTTTTATTAATTTGTATTCCATTCATATGAAAATTTAAAATAATTTTTATTTTAAAAAGAAGTATGCATTTTTATAAAGAAATAAATGAGAAAGTTTTATATATATATATATATACTTCACAAAATTTATTGTAACTTTTTAAATTTTTTTTTTTTTTTTTTTTTTTATTATTTAAATTCTGTCATTTGTGGAAAGAAATAAGTGTACTAATTTCTATATGTAACTTTATTTTTTATACATTTTTTTTATATATTTATGAAATAAAATTTACAAAACTCATGACATATATATTCAAAATTTTTATTATCTTATATATCATTTAAATTTTTTTTTTTTTTTTTTTTTTTTTTATGGTTTAATTTTTATATTTGTTTCGATTTTTATGATTTTTTTTTTTTTTTTTTTTTTTT